AATACACACACACACACACACACACACACACACACACACACACACACACACACACACACATGCAACAATGTTGCTAACGTGCTGGAAGTCACTTGAGCTGCATTTTGTGTAAAAGTTTTTAAGTGATTTATACACCACTTGCACAAGGATAACGAAGTCGTGGTGGGGCGGTGTGGGGTAGAGACTCGAGCTAACTACAAACTTGCTAGCAGTATCTACAACAACAACAACAACAACAACAACTTGCAACTTGCTACTTGACTTGCCTTCACTGCCACTCGAGCTGCAAGCCGAGCCGAGCCGAACTGAGCTGAGCTGAGTGAAATCAGGATATGAAATTTAAACAATAAATGTATATACATATAAATATAGTATATACATATATACATTTATATATCGGTATATAAATTACTAAACTCAACTCAATGGAGTGCAAAGCAAAATATGACACGAAAAACTTTGTTCAATTATAGTTGAACAATTGTTTTGTTGTTGCTCATAATTGACAGAGCGCACAGTGGGGCAAAATGGCTCGTAAAGTGGGTGAAGGTGAAAGTATTGCATGGACCGAGACTGAAGTGGAGCTTAAGTATATATTTACAAATATATATTGATATACTATAAGGAAGTTGAAAGGGTTGAATGAAACATAGAATATGGAAAACATTGGGCACAAAAGGAGAAAAGGACGAATGACTACAGAGTGAAGTCTAAGGACTAAAGTCTAACTTGAAAGAAGTAAGATGGACAACTGAAGATGGAAATCTTTAGCTGGATGAGTAAAGAACGAAATTTAAAAATTGAAAACTAAGGACTGAAGAAGGAAGGATAAAGACTGAAGAATGAAAACTGAAAACGGAAGGATAAAGACTGAAGAATGAAGATTGAAAACTGAAAACGGAAGGATAAAGACTGAAGGCTAAAGATTGAGCTCTCAAGACTAAAGTCTATGAACTGAAGACCAAAGACTGGAGATTGATGAGGAAGATTGAAGATATAAATATGGAAGACTAAAGCCAGAAGACTAAACTCAAAGTAAAAACTAAATCAAGATGCAGTTGAGCAAAAAAAAGGCAACTTAATTTTTAGAGATTAGAATATATATAAAATTAAGGCTAACTTAAAAAACTTAGGCACTGTCAACTGGAACCTTCGGCTTAGGTAAAGTTTATAACAAAGCGAAACATGGAGGAAGAAAGAAGGTAAAGGCCAAAGACTAAAGATTATAGATTGAGGCCTTGAGACAAGGGAACATGTGAAACAGTAGAGATAAAAGAGTATTTAGAGAGACATTAAATAAAATGAACAAAATGGACATCGGACAAGGGAGCGGGAAATACTGCAGACTTTGTGTCACATAAAAATCTAAAAACTCAAGAGGAATTCGCAGAAAAATGCTGAGGACTTCAAGATATGAACATGGAGGACACTGGAATCTGGAAACGAAAGCTTCAAACTAAACATGGAGAACTTGCCCTTAGATTGGAAATGCACTAAGAGGACTGTCTTCGGCTAATCAATCAAGAGTTAGAAATATTTACCCAGACAAAGAGAGAGAATGATAAAAATAGAAGGCAACACTACTGTTATAATGAATATATATTTTCAGATTATTAAAATACACAAGCTGTTAAACATTTAACCAGAGGATGAGAGAGGTGACCAAAGAGGCTAAGTAGTATGCAGATAGTTAAACAGAGATTAAAGAGGTCTACTATATTTAGACTAAAACTGGTTACAATAAAATGAACATTGCTCAAATAAGTGTAGATCAAATAGAGCCAAAGACAAGCTGTTAAATATTTAACAAGATGATGGATGAGAGAGGTGACCAAAGAGGTCAAATATTATACAGTAGAGCCTATAGAGCTCTACAACTGTGAACCTAAGTCTAGGTAAAAGTAAAAAGTAAAGAGAACATTGCTCAAATATATGTGGATCAGATAGAGCCAAAGACAAGCTGTTAAATATTTAACAAGAGGGTAAGGGAGGTGACTAAAGGAGCAGGAAATAGATTGAAGCTTAGAGTAGACTATAGTAGAAAATGGTCAACTTATGTTTAGATCTTGTGTGACTCTAGAAAAGTTGCTCAAATATATTTAGATCTGATCTAGCCAAAGACAAGCTGTTAAATATTTAACAAGAGGCTAAGGGAGGTGACCAGAAGGGCTAGAAAATTAATTGTAGAGTAGACTAGAGTAGTTCTACTATCAATGACTTAAGTCTAGTTAAAAAGAAAATGGTCACCTTATGTTTAGATCTTGTTTAGCTCTAGACAAGTTGTTAGATATTTAACATGGGCATAAGAGTGTACACTGATAATGTTAAATATTTAACAGTATGTCATATACAGAGCACAAATATACTCTGCATAATGTTTAGCTGGAACTAAAGCCCAAATCCCGAATTTGACAGACGAAATAGAAGCAAAACTTCGGAAATATTTGCCAGCAGTGGCTAGAAATACATTGGTGATGTTGTCTGACAGCCTGACACGAAGTTGGCCAAAAGGGAAACTAGAGAGAAAATCAAAGAAAATTAGGGAAAACCAAGGAAAATCAAAGAAAATGCAGAGCAAATGGAAAATGTGTTTTAATGCTCAACTATTAAGCTGCCTGTCAACGCAACTCTCAATCTCACTAGCTCTCTGAGTGTGTGTGTGTGTGTGCGTGTGTGTGCTTGTCTGAGTGTTGCCTACTTTTGTGCTGCGTCACACACACACCAATACACCAACACACAGACATGCCTAAGCTGCCTTAAGCACTTCAACTTTGCTCACTTGTGCAACTCGTCGCTTAATCCGCTTAACGTGTGTAGGTGTGTGTGTGTGTGTGTGTGTGTGTGTGTGTGTGTCTCAGAGTTTATCTGTGTATGTGTGTGTGTGTGGCAGCTACTTCTAACTGCCAGCAACTCGCTCACAATTCCTCTCCCTCTCCCACACACTCCCCTCCCTCCCTCCACCCCCCCTACGTCGCTCTCTTTTCCACTTTCTGCACTCACCTGTGGCGTTCGTCCATCGGCCGCATCAGCGGCACTCACCGCATAGTTGCACTGGCAGCCCTCCTCACAGCAGAGCCGCACCAGCTCATGCTCGCCGCAGGTGCAGGGCTCCTCGTCCTCCTCATCGTAGGCGCAATCCTCCCGTATCAATATGATATAGTCCGCCTCGAAGAATTCGTTGCGTGTCTCATCGAAGACGACGCGATTTTTACGCACCGGCGGCGGACGATTTGGTTTCTTGAGCAGACCGCGCAGCTGCCCATTCATTTCGCGCATCTTGAGCACGTTCGCTGTGGCAATTGTTGCTGTCGTATCAGTTGTTGTTGCTGCTGCTGCTGCTGCTATTGCTGCTGCTGTTGTTGCTGCTATTGCTGCTGTTGTTGATGTATTATTGTTAACGATTGCACTCGCTGCTGCTGCTGTTGTATAAGTTGCTGCTAGAACTGTTAGGCACTCATTGCATTGGCACACGCTTTCGCTCTCGCTCTCGCTCTCACTCTGTTCGCTCTCGCTCTCGCTAATGCCAACTCGCTCTTGCTGCTGCTGCTGTTGCTGTTGCTGTTGCTGCTGCTCGCTAACAAATTCAGCGAGCAACTCGTCGTAGCACTGATAGCCGCGTCGCTGCTTGCTGCACTCGGACAGCGGCTCACTCGGAGCTCCGGCGCTCGCTCTAATGTCGAGCAATTGCAATTGTCTCGCTGCCTTCAAATAGTCGCCAAAGCGTTGCACATCGAATTCGCTAAGTGACGCCACAAAATTGCCACTCGATGAGCTGCAATTGTTGTTGCTGCTGTTGTTGTTGTTGTTGTTGTTGTAGCTGTAACTGTTGTTGTTGTTGTTGCTATTGTCGTTGGCAGTGGGCACAAAGGCGCTGCGTATTGTTGTTGCTGCTGTTGTTGTTGTTGTTGCTGTTGTTGCTGGTGTCTCAATTTCAATCAGCACCTGGCTGCTACTCTCGCTGCTGCTGCTGCTATCAGCCAAACTCTCACAGCGCACGCGCTCTGCAATTTCTTGCTGCGTATTCAGCAATTGCTGCTGCTCCTCCTGCTCCTGCTGCTCTTGCTCCTGCTGCTGCTGCTGCTGCTGTTGTCTGCTATTTGCTTTGGCAATTTGTTCATTAGCAATGTCTTGTATACAATTTCGATTTAATTGTATTGCACTTGAGCCTGGGGCCACGGCCAATAGCGCGCTTTCAACTATTTTATTGTCCTGCAGAGCGCTGCTGTTGCTGTTGGGTGTTGCTACTCCTCCTCCTGCTACTGCTAGTGCTGGCTGTGGGGGTAGTTTCTTTGTTGTGCTTATTGTCGCTGTGCTGGCATTTAGTTGTATTAGTTGCTGTTGCTGTTGCTGTTGCTGTCTCAAGGATGCCTTTACACAATCATCAACTACAACAGCCTCACCACAGCTGTTGTTGCTGGCAGAGCTGCTGCTGCTACTGCTGCTGCTGCTGCTGTTAACGCGTCCCTGAAAATTATGCTGTAAGCGCTTGAGCCTTTGGCTGGCCACAAAATCCTCGGTCAAATCGTCACCGAAATCAATAAGATCCTTATCGTTGCAGCTTGTTGCGCTGCTCGTTGCTAACGTCGCCTCCTGCTTATGCCCTAGATCATTGCCAACGCCGAGCTGTTTGGAATTGTTCGATAGTTCGCCTTGATTAGAGCATTGCTCGTTACGTTTGGCGTCAGTCGCGTGCACTGGGCCAGCAGCAACATTCGTCGCTGGCAATTGCTGCTGCCATCGGTTGTCTAGCTTCAAATATGGCAATGACAATGGCACCTCCTTCTGCTGCTGCTGCTGCTGCTGCTGCTGCTGGTGGTGGTGGGGGTGGTGGTGTTGCTGCTGCTGCTCCTCCTCCACCAACAACAACAACAACGATTGCTCGTCACTATCACTAGACTCTTTTGTTGTTGTTGCTACTGTCGCTATGTCGCTTTGCACATTTTCACTCGAATTGTTAAAAAAATTGACATTTAAATCATTTTCACAAATTTTTTGCACAAATTTTTCTGTACGTCGCGCGTCGCTGTCAGCGTCGTCGCCAGCTGCGCTGCTCGCGTCGTTCTTATTGGTAGTAAAAAAAAATTCTTTCTGCTGCTGCTGCTGTTGCTGTAGCTGTAGCAACTGCTGCTGCTCGCTTTGGCCAATATCGTTGCTAATTTTACAATCTTCAATTTGCACAAGATTTTCAACAATTTTCAACAATTTTTGATTTTGGCCAAAATTTGTTATTGGCTGCTGCTGCTGCTGCTGCTGCTCAGCTGCGCTTGCTGCGACGACTGCTGCTGCGGTTGGTGGTGCTGCTGCTGCTGCCGCTGCTGCTGCTGCTGCTGCTGCTACTGTGAGTTTGGCTTTGAAAAGCTCACTGCCAATTGTAGATATTGAGCAGGCGCTGTTGTCGCTGTTGTCGCTCCCCGTGCCTTTGGCATTGCTGGTGTTGGTGCTGGTGCTGCTGCTGCTGCTGCTGGTGCTGGCTTGTGTTGTTGCTGCTGTCACATTGGGTGGTTGCTGGCCATGGCCAGCATGCTCTGCGTTTGCGCTCACGCTCACGCTCTCACGCTCGACTTGCGCGCGCTCCCAATTGCTGACAACTTCCGCTCCTGTGTTGCTGTTGTTGCTGTGGTTGTTGTCGCTGTATTCAGCACGCGCATGCGCCTGTGTTTGCATGTCACTGCTATCCGCTGACTGGCACGCCTCCTGCCAGCCCCGCACGACGCCCTGCTGCTGCTGCTGCTGCTGTTGGTGCTGGGGCTGCCACGCACAATGCGCCTTGTATTGCACGCCAGCAACATTAACTCGTGAGCTGCGTGCCTCGCATGCCAAATCGACGTCATCAGTGCCATCAGCAGCAGCAGCAGCAGCAGCAGCAGCCACATTTAAACCTTGTACACCGTTAGACATGTTGCCCGCTGCAATCAGAGCTGCTGCTGCCGCCGCGGCGGCTGCCTCAATTGCAACAGCAATATGCTCATTATTGCTGCTGCTGTTGTTGTTGCTGTTGTTGTTATTGCTGTTGCTCTTATAATTTGCATCTTCATTATGTTTGCTAAGCGTTTTGTTAGCCATCGCTGTTGCCGTCATTTTGCTGCGTTTCGCTGCTTCATCACACTGCTCCCGCTCCCTCTCCCGCTCCCGCTCCCGCTGCCGCTCCCTGTCCCGCTCCAGCACGCTCTGTCCGTTCGTTAAGGCCAGCGTTAGCATGTCCACAATCAGCATAGTTGCTGCCGCGCCAGCGCCAATATATGCACATATACAGCGTCAATCGTCATTCAAGCTGCGAATTGCAATTCAAAATTAGTTCACGCAATAAATGAAGAAATTAGCACATCATCATCATGATCATCATCATCATCGTAACAGATACTAGATAACCAATAATAAACACAATTATCGGGCAATAAAATAATTTCCACAGTACCGTTAATAGCACCCCAACGTTTTCTAGATCGTGCATTACCCATTCCAATTATAATTAGTCTATCACGCTTCGACCTAACCTCATTCATGCGTGCATTTCACTCGAATCCTAATGGAGGAATGATTTTCCTATCTATATTTTATTTTTAAGACAAATTGAATTAAATTTAGAAATGTAATCTATATTGAAACAGGTATTTGGAATATTTTTATAATTGTATCCTCTATAGAAAAAAATGCATTTTTCTCAACATTTTTAAAATATTTTGAGTTTTTTTTTTTTTGTTAAAAGGAAATTATTCACACATAAATTTTAAAAAGTCTTAAAAACAAAGAAAAGAAAACGTATGCAATATTTTCCGCACTTTAAATATTTTCAGATTATTCCCATAGAAAATATATTTCGAAAATTTATTCGTAAAAAATATTTTTTTAAATATTGCAAGAAATGTTTTTAAAAATATTACATGAATTGTTTTTTCAAATATTACAGCTAATTTAAATTAAATAAAAAAATTAGTTTAAATATTTTTGTTTTTAATAGTTGAAAATAAAGTAATGCAAAATGTCTAAAAAATAAAAAAAAAATTACGTTAGTGTTAGTTACATCATATTTCCTACTATTATAAGTGTAAGCAATCAAAATATATGCATATACATACATACATGTACATACATATATATTTGATGACAAGTTCCGGTTGTTAAGGTAAAAATTTGCATATTCAAATTGTGTTGGACTGCTTCATTGATACGCTGACAAAATGTGGGAGTTTTTCTTATCGGAAACTCTCACACAGAAAAATAAGGTGAAAACATTTACCAACAGGTAAATGTGACCTATGCTCGAGCAACCAGTTGAATTTTCCACTTAACTAACCATATTTTATTATATTTCTAATTTTTGCATAAATTATAAAATTTACCGGCTAACAAATTTCGACACAAAGTGTTGTTTGTTGTTGTTGCTGTTGTTGCTGGGCTGACACAGAAAAACAGGTGCGCGAGTGCAGCCAAGCGCATCCTGCGCTCAGGATGTAGCCCCACAGCAGTGCGCGTGTGCGACTGAGACGGGGGTAGTTGTTAATAGCCGCTCCGTTACGCGCGAATGCAGAGCGAAAGACACCACCGACAAAAAAAAAAAAACAAAAAAAACAACAGAAACAAAACAAAAAGACACAAACAAAAACAAAAGCACACACACAGTCACACGCACACACACACGTATGCAACGCGGAAATGTAAACAACAAAAATTACAACGCGCTACGTAAAAATTCTGTGAATTTTTGACTGTCTGCGGCTTTGGGTTGGTTTCAGCGTTCACCGATCGCCGCTTAAGACGCACGTCCGAACGCGTTTCGTGGCGGAAGTTGACTGAGCAAACGCAACTGAAACTCAAAGGCAGCTCGCAACGCTTTCGGCTTCGACGGCGGCTCTCGTGTTGTCTTGAGGCTCGGCTTGAGCTTCGGCAGCGGCTACGATCTAGGCGCAAGCGCAAAAAACTCAACGAGCGCCGAGCAAAAGAAACGACGCCAAAGACATTTGAATTACGGTGATGGAAATGCTTGGCATGTAAGCAGAGCGAATCAGAAAAATAAAGCGATAAAGAGAGAGAGGAAGAACAAACCAGCAGAAGGGCAGCGCTCAGCAGTTAGTTAACTAATGAGCGCAACGAGATTATACCTTAGAAATCGTGCCGATGCAGTTTGGCAAATAATTTTTAACTATTAAAATATTTACATTTAACCTGAGCAATGTATTAAGCAATGTTTAATTAGTTTTTGCTTTATTTTCTATAAACAATAAGTATATATTAATACGGTATATCTTTTTATATAAATTTATATTCTTGGGTTTGGCTGTCACATGCCATGTCTCTAGCCATCATGCTTGCTAATTACATTTGTTTATAGGGTATAACTACTGGCCCAACCCAATGGGCTCGCCTACAGCTCGCATGCACCACGGGCTGTCCCAGCGGCCAGCTGCTGCTTCTGCTGCTGCCGCTACTTGTGGATAGTGCGTGTTGTCGTTGGCAATTATGCGCTGCACTTGCCAGTTGATGTACTCGCTCAACTAACGCCAGCAGAGTATATTCGTTGGGTGCAATAACAACCGTTGTACATTTTATCTGCATGTTTATACAGCTGATTTGCCAACTGCCAGCGGAATCAACTGAAATCAACTACATTAACTACATTGGAGCATATTGTGAAATGTATCCGCCTGCATTGATATATGGACGTGTATTGGGCAGTCGGACTGTGAAGGCCTTGCTCACATGACGCTGGGCAGCTCTATAGTGGGTATCTATCAGCAGCCCCTTCGCGCTGCACCGGCCCCACAGAAGCGACAATTGGCTACGGTGACCGGCGACAGTTTTTCTATGTGTGTGAGAGTGAGTCTGAGCGAGTGTCTATGTGTGTGTGGTGTGGTTTGGTAAAACGTGCTCGTCTCGCGATCATCAAGTGTGCGACGCTGTGTTTGTGTGTGTGTGTGAGAGTATCGTGTACTATGTGTTTCTCTGTTTTACATAGGAAGCAAAGCGGCGTTCGTCTCATAGAAAAAAAATTTATATAGTTAAGATATCAGCCAGCAAGTTAGGCTTGGGAAAGTCAGTTGAAGCGATAGCTCCATGAAATCTAAAATAGATTAGAATAAAGATATCAAATCGAAACTATCTTATGTTGATCAGTTTATCTAAGACTGCTAGTAGTAGAAATTCATTTGAAGACTTCATTAAAATGGCAAGAAAACAATTGTTGTATAACGGTTCAATTGCCTGGTTTGAGATTGAGGCGAATAGAAAGAGTATAGGATTTTAACTGATTTTATTTGAGGTTAGAAAGAAAGTATTAAATTAGCATATTGAAAGTTTCTCAAAAATAAATTCTTAATTTTAAATA